TTGTTTCTTTACTTTTGATCTGTGCCAGCTTGATCGCCTGTTCGAAATAGTTAATATTATTCTTGTGTTCTTTCCAAACCTAAAAGTTACGAAGATGGGACTATTAGAAAATGCAGTATCACAGTGAACATGATGTTTAACACCCAGACGATCCAAAGTCCTGTAATGTGCTGCGATGAAGTAATTTGTTTTAGAATTTAGTATCGCAGCGAACCCGAAGTTCAACACCCAGACGACCCAAAGTCCTGTAATGTGCTGCGATGAAAATATGTAATAATTTGTTTTAGAATTTAGCATCGCAGCGAACCTGACGTTCAACACCCAAAGTCCTGTAATGTGCTGCGATCAATTCACATTTATTTAATTTATATTAATACTTTCCTTCAGATCATTGTACAATTCATCTGCCTTCTTGCGTACTTCATCTGAGACTTGTTGATTGTCCCTGACATTTTCCAGTGCTGTTTTTATATACTCAATGACCTTCTTTTATCACAAAAATATGTATTAATATACCATTCCGCTAAGCCATTAAGTGTCCAAACATTTGGCAAAGTATTGTCTAAATATTCAACCGTAGAATTTGATTTTTGCATTACGTATTAAATTTCTTTTGAGTTTTTTTTTTGAATTGATTATGATATGATAGAGATTCATTTTGACACGAAAATTTTTAAACACGCGCGATCAGCATGGCAGACATTTGTATGATTGGTCAATTTGTATGTCGATCATTTCCTAATTATCAATGAGGTGATTAATTTTGATTGGCTCAAATTTTATTATTAAATTAAATATGATAACGGATTATATTTTTTATTAAATTATTAATAATAAATTATTTTTGATAATAAACAAAGAAACTATATGGGAGCTGATCTATTAAAAGTGGGTTACGAGACATAATAAATCATATGATCTGTACCTCAATTTTAATAGAATACTATCCATAATCATATAAAAACTTTATTGTAATTGAATGAAATGATATTAGTAAAAATTTTAATAAATATACAAATCACATGACATATGATACTAGTGGTATAGCCAAATAATAATTTCATTGATTTTTAAATCTTAATTATTATAATTATTATACTCATCACATTATTAAAATATTTATTATACAAATTTAATATTTTTATTAATGATTTCTTAATTTATTATTATTTTTATTTAGTGATGATGCATTTAAAAGACACTTTTTTTAATCATTGATAACATTGATAAGAAATCGCCATCATCATGTAATTGAAGTTTGTTGATGCTAATGAAATTCAGCATTTTTTATTTTAATTTCCACACATAAAAATGAGCGAAATTATTTTGCTAGCTTGCAGTATAAAAAATTATGTATGATACTTTTGTTTATAATGGTATGATAATAAGATTAAAATCAGACTATTTTTTTCTAAAAACAAAAATGGTGATGTAAGAATAAGTTGCCTTTGAACGCTCAATCATACCTTATAAGAAATCGAAATAAGGAAATGATACGTTTTTTATAAGGTTTGTATACGTAATTAATGATTTTATCAAAATTCCGTATGTTTTATAATGATTTTTTTTTTTATAATTTTTTAAAAAATTAATGTATACGGAATTATTAAGGAATTTAAAATAACATATAAAATTTACGTAA